GCCCGCGAAGGAACCCGCGGGGATCTCCGTTCGGAGGTGGTCTCCCTGAGCGGCCGGGCTTCTTCCCCCCCGTCCTTCCTGGCCGCCTGCCGCCCTGCTCGCGAGGATGCACAGCGCGCGCGTGGAATGCTGCCTCCCTGGCCATCGTTCGGACGTCCATTCCCTGTGTTTTTGTCGGTTTCGCGCGTGGCTTGTTCGCCAAATGATCAACGATGCGCCTCGATGGCCCTCGCCGAGAAAAAATGTACATGTCCGAGCGATGACAACCTCCTCCACCGGTCCAGAGGACGACCTCGAGTCCGAGATGCGTCACCGCCGTGGTAGACATCCACCCAAGCATGCAATTTTTATAGGGGGTCCCAGATAGCCCGACCGCTTCCCAGGTGGGTCATGTATCCCTCACGGACGCATGCTTTTCTGACGGTGGGGCCTTCGAGACGTGGAAGGCTGATGTGACCAGCTGTCGTTTTTTTTTTTGTCGCCCGGATCTGCGGGAAGACCTCAAGCCCGAAATGCGTCGCCGTCCATGCAGCGGTCGCGATTGGGAACGAACCGACGGACTGGGCTGCGCTCGCAGACAGAAGAGGAACCAACTGCATAAACATAAACGTTTGGCGCTCCGCTCGGATCTCTTGGATCCGCGCCAGACACACCTACCTGGCGCGCGGAGCGCCCGAGGGGCGGTGCCGGAAGCGCCCCAACGGGGGCTCAGGCGCCGATCCAAGAAATCCGCGCGGAGCGCCGAAAGTTTATGCGCATGGCGTTCGTTCTACTTCGAAAGGTGCGTGCGCACGGCGTGCTGGGCCGGATTGTGGCGGGGGTTCCGGTTCGTCGCAGCCGCCGACCCTCATGGGGGTCTCCGTGGACGGGACTAAAACCGTCCAGGGGGCCCTGTGGGGCCGTCTTGGGGCAAAATTGTGTCATCTTGGGAGTCTCTTGGGAATGTCTTTGGGCGGCCTGGAGGCCGTACTGGGCTGCACTGGGGTCCTCCACTGGTCTGATTGGAGCCCCTCTGGGTGCCCTCAATGGGCGTCTTGGGAGCCTCCTGGGCTGGATTGAGCCCCTCTCGAGCCGCTCTTGGGGCCATCTTTGAGCGCCGTTTCGTCAACTTGTTGGGTCTCTTTGGGCGGCCTCGAGGCTCTGGAAACCGAATCGGCATCTGGATACTGCAAAAAATCGTCCCGCCGGGCTCGCGTGTAGGGGCGCCTTTTGTGGGGGCAGGGGGAATATGATTTATTGAGGCGTTTTCTGGAAGCCATTGGACAGAGGGGCTCGGTTTTATCAGGGTGCACTTTGCGCATCCAATTTCACATCACAATCATGCGCGCGACGATCCCGAAGGCCGTACCCGTGACCACCAGCCTACGAAACAGAATCGCGATGAAATCAGCATCATCACTGTCGTTGCCTTCGCCGTCGCCATCTTCACCACCATTCCCGCAAGTGTTTCGAATATGGGTCAGTCGCCGTCAATAACATTTTCTTCACGCGCTCTAAGCGACATGATCAGAATGAGGAGGCTGAGCCGAACGGTCATTCACTGTCCCTGCGTGCGTGGCTGAGTGGAATTCCGCGATGCTGGTTGTTGTTGTTGTTGTTGTTGTTGTTGATGCTGCTGTTGTTGTTGTTGTTGTTGTTGTTGTTGTTGTGTTTGTTGTTTGTCGTTTGTTTGTTGTTGTCGTCGTCCCACCCGCGACCCGCCCCGCGACCCACCCGCGACCCACCCCGCGACCCACCCCGCGACCCACCCGCGACCCACCCCGCGACCCACCCCGCGACCCAACCCGCGACCCACCCCGCGACCCACCCGCGACCCACCCGCGACCCACCCGCGACCCGTCCGCGACCCACCCCGCGACCCACCCGCGACCCACCCGCGACCCACCCGCGACCCACCCGCGACCCACCCGCGACCCACCCCACGACCCGCTCGCGACCCACCCGCGACCCAACGACGACCCACCGCGACCCACCCGCGACCCACCCGCGATCCACCCCGCGACCCACCGAAAATGTTCGGCGCTTGCGGCGGGTTTCTCTTGCATTCGTTCCAAGTGGAGAACCTGCGACCCACCCGAGACCCAAACCGCGACCCACCCGCGACCCACCCGCGACGCACCCGCGACCCACCCAAAATGTTCGGCGGCTGCGGCGGGTTTCTTTTGCATTCGTTCCCGGTGGAGAACCTGCGACCCACCCGCGACCCAAACCGCGTTCAGTGTGCAAATAAAAATGTTCGGTTCCTGCGGCGGGCTGTGTTTGAATTCCTTCCAGGTGGAGGTGGAGAGCCCGCGACCCACACGCGACCCAAACCACGTTCACTGAACAAGCCAAAAATTCGGGGCCCGTGGCGGTTTTTTTTGCATTTGCTCCAAGTGGAGAACCTGCGACCCAAACCGCGTTCAGTGTACAAATCAAAAGTTTCGGCGCCTGCGGCGGTTTTCGAATTCCTTCCAAGTAAAGGTGGAGACCCTCCGACCCACCCGCGACCCAAACTACGTTCACTGAACAAACCAAAAAATCGACGCCTGCGGCGGGTTGTTTTTGCAGTCGTTCCGGGTGCCCCACCAACGATCCCCCCCGCGCTGACCTTGTCAGCGCACGCAAGTCGGCGCCTGCGGCGGGCTTGCCCGCATTGGCTTGGGAAAGCGCCCTCGCGCCATTCCCCCGATCCGGCCCATGTTGATTCTACAACAGCACATCGGCGTCTGCGGCGGGGCTGTGTCTAAACACGTTCATTGACAATCCAGCTGCCAGCTGCAATTCGGCATCCGCGCCCAAAGCCTGGGTTCAGGGGAAGCTGCCTCAAGGCGCTCACAATTAAGGGGCCTCGGGGCGCTCAAAGACCCTCCTGAGGGGGGCGCCCACGAACCCTACCTCACAGCACGCCAGTGCCGCACAAGCGCGGCGGCGGATGTTGCATGCAGTCTGAGCCCCGCAAGACCTCTTCAAGCTCCGATTATCCACAGGGCTCAACCTGAACAGTGTTTTCTGTTCACGCTTCGCTTTCGTTTAAAAACGAAGTTTGAGCGAAAACGCCGGCCAGCGTCGCGGGGGCCGTTCTGGAACAAAACAGCGGGTGAACAAAACAGCGGCCCCCGAGCAGCCGATGGGTTGGTGTGGGTAAGTTATCCACACCAACCCATCCAGCAACTTTACCCTGGCGAATTGCCTGGATCAGAGAAGTCGGGGAGCATTCAGTGGAACAAAGGATTGGTTTGCCAGTATCTTGAGAAAGAAAGGCTAGGCAGAGGAGTAAACAGGGGACGAGGAGGACGCGGAAGAAGAGAGGATGTAAGGAGAATGTGGAGAAAGAGGAGGAACAGGAAGAGGAGTAGGAGGAGGAGGAGGAGGAGGAGGAGGAGGGGGAGGAGGGGGAGGAGGAGGGGGAAGAGGAGGAGGAGGAGGAGGAGCAGGACGAGGAACATCAAGAGGATCGACAGGGAAGGTGAGGGCCACGAGGTCCGCCGGCTCAACGCCCGCATCGCCCGCGCCCGCCCCCTCACTCTTATCCGCAATTGCGGGGTGTTACGTTATTCAATCACCGTCCCGTCAGTGTCATCATCTGCACCCTTATCCAACTCACACCTGTTGCATCTGAACCTACGTCTACTGCCATTGTTCTCACCAACGTGACCCTCGCCATGATTGTGGACAGAAGGGCCGAACAAAGAGGTTGCCAAGGGGGGAGGGGAAGTTTTTGTATTTTGGGGTCGTTTGAAGGGACCTGATGTTAGAATCGTAAAGCACACTCGGGATCTATATTTGCGTGCCGCGAGGGGTTCCTCTTCTAGCCCTTTAGGCTGTTGAAGCTCCGTGATGAATTGCAGTCACTTTGGGGTAATACTGGGCTGTCTTTGGTCCGTCTTGTGGGCATCTTATGGACCTTTGGGAGTCTTCCTGGGCGGTGCCGGGGTTGTCTGTCGGGCCTACTTGGGCGCTCCGTCTGCATCGCGAACTTAGCCAGACTGGCGCATCACACGTTGTGTCGGATCATTGCTCTTCATACCGTTGACCTACATATACACAACTGCGTGTTATGCTATATCTTAGCCTACGAATGGTTGGCGCAGACTTCTTGGGTCAGCGCTGGGGGCCCAGCTCCGACCCAAGAAATCAGGGCTGATGTCCAGAAATCCCCAATCAGCGCTGCCACTTAGAAGATCTTGTTCTAAGGAATTGGATGAGTCTGGCGAGTGTTCGGCAAGTTGCTGCCCGAGGCCGCCTCGTTGCAGCCTCGTGCGCTGGTTGGGTCTGGCGGAGGTTTCGCCACGTTGCCGCGCGTTTCTGCACGGTTGCAGCCTCGTGCGCTGGGTGGAGCTGGCGAGGCTCCTCCACGTTGCAGCCCATTGCCGACCCGCTGCCGCCTCGTGCACTTGGTGAGACCTGAGACCGGCGAGGTTTCGCCACGTTGCCGCGAATTCAATCCTGGTGCCTCGTGCGCTGTCCGGCGAGGAATCACCACGTCGCCGTTGCCGCCTCGTTGCCAGCTCGTGCGCTGGGTGGGTCCGGCGAGGTGTCGCCACGTCGCCGCCAATTGCGGCCTCGCAGCCGCCTCTTGCGCGTGGTGGGTCCAGCGAGGCCTCGCCACGTTGACGCCCGTTGTCGCCTGGTTGCCGCCTCAGCGGGGGCTGGGCGAGTCCGACGAGGTTTCGCCACGTTGCCGCGAATTAAATCCTGGTGCCTCGTGCGCTGTCCAGCGAGGTTTCGCCACGTTGCCGTTGCCGCCTCGTTGCCAGCTCGTGCGCTGGGTGGGTCCGGCGAGGTGTCGCCACGTCGCCGCCAATTGCGGCCTCGCAGCCGCCTCTTGCGCTTGGTGGGTCCAGCGAGGCCTCGCCACGTTGACGCCCGTTGTCGCCTGGTTGCCGCCTCCGCGGGGGCTGGGCGAGTCCGACGAGGTTTCGCCACGTTGCCACCCAGTTGCCGCCTCGCTGCTGCCTCGTGCGCTGGGTGACCCGCGAGGTTTCGCCACGTTGCCGCCCATATGGCCGCCGCGTGGCTGCCTTGTGCGCGGTGAGCGGGTCTGGCGTGGTTTCGCCACGTTGCCGCTCGTTGCCGCCCAGTTGCAACCTCGTGCGCTCGGTGTCTGGAGGGTTTTCGCCACGCTGCCGTTTGGCCCAGCCCCGACCCAATAAATCAGCGCTGGTTCCTGAAAATTCCCCAAACAGTGCTGACACTTGGAGTTTCTTACTTCGGCCACTAAGATGCGTCCGGCGAAAGCTCACCACGTTGGCGCCCGTTGCTGCCTCGTTGCCGCCTCCTGCGCTGGGCGGGTCTGGCGAGGTTTCGCCACCGTGACGCGCGTGACCGACTCGTTGCCGCCTCGTGCGCTAGGTGGGCCGTCGAGGTTTCGCCTCGCTGCCACCCAGTTGCCACCCAATTGCCGCCTCATTGCAGCCTCTTGCGCTGGGTGGGTCCCGTGAGGTTCCGCCACGTTGCCGCCCATCGCTGCCTCGTTGGCGCCTCGTGCGCTGGGCGAGTCTGGCGAGGTTTCGCAACGTCGCCGTTGCCGCCCAATTGCCGCCTCGTGCGACGGGCGCATCCGGCGAGGTTTCGCCACGTGGTCGCCCGTTACCACCTCGCTGCCGCCTCTTGCGCTGGGCGGGTCTGGCGATGCTTCGCAACGTGGCCGCCCGTTGACGCCAGGTTCCCGCCTCGATGTGGCCTCTTGCGCTGGGTGGGTCCCGGGAGGTGTGTCGCCACGATTCCGCCTCCTCGCGCGTGGTGGGTGGGTCTAGTTAAATGTTGCAACATGACCGCTCATGGCCACCCAGATGCCGCCTCGTTGTCGCCTCCTGCTCTGGGTGTGTCTGGCGAAGTATAACCACGCTGCCGTTGCCGCCTCGTTTCCGTCTCTTGCGCTAGATGGGTCTGGCGAGGTTTCGCCACGTTGCCGCCCGTTGCGGCCTCGCTGCCGCCTCTTGCGATGGGTGGGACTGGCGAGGTTTCGCCCAGTTGCCGCTTCGTTGCGGCTTCTAGCACGCACTACACCACATATCTTACTCGACATATCTGGCACCACATAGCCTATACATCCACAGTGCAATGAGATACAGTTTGGTGTCCACGCTGCCTACTAGTCATGTTTAAGTGCTAGACTCGCGTGAAGGTGCTACTTAAGGGAGCAATGGAAATAAGAAAAAAATTGACAGGACGTTCGAATGAACCGAATCTCGCTCTCGGTCCCGCCCTCGTCCTCGGCACGAAAAGCGCGCGGCAAAAATGCACAAGAAATCGCGCTCCTGCGCGGTGAACAAGAACACCACCAGGGCAACCGCGTGGACGTCCTGCCCCCCGTCCTGCCGCTGTTCCGCTCCTCGGTCCCTACCGACGATCCCGGCAATCCGCGCGAACCTCCAGAGATTCACGCGCATGTAATTCATTATGCCTCGCTGCTCCCTCACACAGTCGGGCTGCTGCAAGACGGAGCGATACAGAGAAGGAGCGAAACCCCCTTGGGGCCCCCAACGCGCACGCGCCCACGAGGAGGGCCAGAGGAACAGCCACGGAGGGACCAAAATAGACAGCAAGCCCCGTCCGAGCCCAGGACTGTTCCTTACCTTGGCGTCTCGGCTGTGCACTCACGTCGTATATTGGGAGGCAACTACTGGGAGGTTTTCGTCGGAAGGATTAAGGAGGATTAAGCCCCATTGGGGGGCTGTTAAGCCAGAGTGGGCCGCGGATCAAGCGGAACACAGCCAGATTAAGCGGGAGTAAGCGGGATTAAGCCGGATTCAGCGGGATTAAGCCGGATTGAGCGAGATTTCGGGCAAAGGCTAAATCAGAGTATGACCTCCCAGGAGCTGCATCCGAAAGTATAGGAGGGAACGGCGAGAAATAGAATGGCTCGGGGGCCAGGTGAGCCCCAGGGGCCACCTCTGGCGCACATTTCCTTCATGGCGTGCCTCCTTCCCCCTCCCCTGCGGCCAGCCCCAAGGGGGGAAGTGAGACGGGGCGGGCCTTCTCAAACGGCTCGGACGTCCCTGGCATTCTGAGAATGTTTCTGAGCCTTCCCCGAAGGCACCGAAAACCTGCCGGAAAGCTGGAGGCCTTCTGAGACGTCCCACCGACTTCTGAGAAGGCCCCTCGCTCGCCGCCGACCTTCTCTCACTAGCCAAGAGCGGTCAACATCGAATCGACAGATCGGATCGAATCGGAACGGGCGTCGGATAGGGCCGCGTTGGCACCGCGTCGGAACCGAAACGGATCGGCCGCGCCAATATGCACAACTAGGCCGCGCAAGCATCGGGCCGCATCGGACAGCCAGAGCATCGGAACCCGAATCGTATCGAGCAGGGCGTTAATGGCAATGGTAAAATGGTGCATCGGCAAGTCCGCCGCGCCGCTACGCGGCTGGCCCAAACTGGGCCCCCTCCTCGTCTGGTAACGGCCAGAGCTCTGTACCGTTTGCTTCGGCCAGCAGTTTCGCCCGCCTCAACTCCCTCGCCCATTCGACCGCCGCATCGGGCGACTCAAGGTCGTACAGGCGGGCGACCTTACGAGGAGTCCAACACAGGGACCTCCACCCCGCGCTGCCAGGAGCTGACGGGCCCCTCGCGGTCACCGAGCTCAGACACCCAGGCACGCTCTCCAGCGGGCACGGACCCTGGCCCTTTCCAGAACCTTGCTGTCGCACCCCGAGGCCAGTTTTGAAGGTAGGCCGAGCGTTTCGCTTGAGACTGTCTCACTATTTATGACCCGGAAGCTTAAACATTGGCAACAGTTTCACAGATGGAGGGCGGGTGGTTTTCAAAATGTGGTTATCGTCTTAGCGCTGCGCATATTCGTGTCAATCACTTGCAAGAGCTTCACGGATTGAGAATAGTGCGTTTTCAACATGTGGCTCTCGCCTTAGCGCCGCGCACATTCGTATTAAACATTCCAAGGGCTTCACGGATTGAGGATCACCCGTTTTCAATACGTGGTTCTCGCCGTAGCGCCGCCCACCTTAGGTGTAAAACGTTGCAAGCCAGAATTTAGCGGATTGAGGGCGGTTCCTTTTCAAAATGTGGCTCTCGCCTTAGCGCCGCGCACACTCGCTTATACAAGCTGCAAGAATTTACGGATTCCCCCGATCAACGTACCAGAAATAGTGTTTTGGAAAGATTCAAGATTTTGTGGGCACAACGGTTATGTTGATTCCCGGTGTTGGAATCCCAAGAATGGCGTTCTGGCACGATCCGTTATCGTCAGGCCACAACAGTCAAGTTGATCCGTGGCGTGCAGATCCCAGGAACAATGTTCTGGCATGCTTCCGGGCCTTCAAACAGTTGTCTTTCTTTGAGGCAGATCCCTCGGTGGAAATGAACCGCTGTAGGGGCCTATGAAGAGGGAACTTGGGGGGAGGTTGTATTCTTGCATCGTTGATGGCTCCTGGGTTTACACTGGTCCTCCCCCTCCTCCTCCTCCTCCTCCTCCTCCTCCTCCTCCTCTTTTCCACGGCGCATGCAATCGACTCCAGGGCCCCTCAGGACTCGTGTTGTCCCCCGCCCCTGCGGGGGACCATACAATAACAAAATGCCCTGTGGGAGGCAATACAATTAGGTCGGGCAGGGGGATTATGGACGAAACATTATAATTGTCAGACAATACTCCAAAATGGTAAAAATCGTGAAACAATCGTCCCTGAGGGTCCCCAGAGGGCCCGAAAGGGGCTCACTGACATTTCAAACGAGCCCCATGATGACCCCAGAACCTTCCTCAAGGGCCCCAAGAGGGCCCCAAGAGGACCAAAATCACGCCTCAAGAGGACCCCAATGTTGCTCCAAGAGTTCTCGTCTCCCCAAGATGACCCAACGAAAACCTCAAGAGGACCCCACTGAGGCCCCAAGAAGGCTTCAAAAGATCTCGTTGTCAAACTCTCTTCCTTATAAATATTCCTTCGGTGGGGAGGCCCGGGCATACCGCTTGAGATGTCCTCGTTATGTGTAACCCTGAAGCTTGCAAGTTACAACGGTATCACGGATGGAACGCGGGCCGTTTCCAAACAGTTGTGGATCCCGCCGAATCGCCGCGTACATTCGTCATGAAAGTTGTACTCGTTTCACTGATGAAGCGGGCCGCTGTCAATATGTAGCCCCTGCCTTAACGCCGCGCACATTCGATTAAAACAACACCAACAGCGTAAAAGATGGAGGGCGGCTCCTTTTTCAAAATGTGGATTTCGCGTTCGTGCCGCGCACATTCGTCTTAAACATTTATCACCGTTTAAAAACATCGTATGGTCGAAGTTCATACGTGTTGTTCTGGCACGACTTAGTCACGTTGATTCGCCATGCTGCATTCCTGGGGGCGGCGTTCTGGCACGAGAAATGTCAGGACGCAAGAACAACCACGTCGATCCGCGGCGCTGAAATCACAGGAACTGCAGATTGGCGCGATGGAAACTTCTCAGACGGTTGTCTTATAATGGTCCACTTTCCGCAATGAACATAAATTCATTAAGGGACCTGTGATCAGGGAACTTGGAGGAAGGGTCGATTGCAACATCGCGTCCAGGAAGGGTCGGGGACTTGAACTGGTCCTCCTCCTTCTACTCATTTCGTTTTCGTCGTCCTCGTCCTCATCCTCGTCTTCTACGTCGTCGTCCTCCTCCTCCTATTTGTCCTCCTCTTCCTCGTCCATACAATCCTTTCGTTCCTGGTCGTCGTCCTCCCCGTACGCCTCCTCCTCCTCTCCTCCTCCTCCTCCTTCTCCACGTCGTCGTCCTCGCTGTCCTCAAGAGGGTCCTCAAGAGAGTACATGGACGCATCATATCGGCTGTTCTACAGTATGCCTCTGCACTTCCATGATCAAGGCAACTCGCCCGGCGGTCGCTTCTAGATGGGCTGGTGGGTTCACGCGGAGCGCCAAGAATCTCAAGGACCTGGCCGTGGTCACCAGGGGCCCCGCGGAAACGGGAAACACAGAAAGCTACTACCATCGCACATGTCAGCGATGGACAAACCTCCCTGTAGCAAATCACCCTTTGAGGAAACGGCCCAGGGCCGAAACCGACGGA